CCCCTGAAAGCCCCGCCTCCACTCTGGAATGCCCTGCCTCCACCCTGGGATGACCCTTGGAAGCCCCGCCCCACCTGGAATGCCCCGCCTCTATCCTGGGATGACCCTTAGAAGCTCCGCCCCCACCCTGGGATGCCCCCTGGAAGCCCCAGCCCACCCACCCTGGGATGGGGGGCTGAGGCGGGCGTGTCCCCGCAGGGGGCGGCACTACTGGGTGCCGGTGACGCGGCGGCTGTTCGGGGGGCAGATCGTGGGGCAGGCGCTGGTGGCGGCGGCGCGGGCGGTGGGCGAGGACATGCACGTGCACTCCCTGCACTGCTACTTCGTGCGCGCCGGTAAGAGCCGGGGCCTCGGCCTCAGTTTGCCCAGCTGGGGAACGGGGACGCAGGGCGGGCGCCCCAGCGCCAGGCCCCTCGGGGTGACGCGGCTGCTCCGGGCGCAGGGGACCCCGGCGTGCCGGTGCTGTACCAGGTGGAGCGCACCCGCACCGGGAGGAGCTTCTCGGTGCGCTCCGTGAAGGCGGTGCAGCACGGGAAGCCCATCCTCATCTGCCAGGCCTCCTTCCAGCGGGCCCAGCCCAGCCCCGTGCAGCACCAGTTCGCCATGCCCGCCGTGCCGGCCCCCGAGGAGCTGCTGACGCAGGACGAGCTCATCCACAAGTACCTGCAGTGAGTGCGCGGGCGCAGCGGGACGGGTGCTGGGGACCCCTCGGGCCCTCACGTCAGTACCGCGGCGGGGGCCAGGCCAGCGTGACAGGGCCCCGAGCCCCGCGAGAGGTGAGCCCCAATGGCAGGACCCCTCCATCTAGACACGGCCGCCCCCAGCTGTAGTAATTAGGGGAAGGCAGAACGTGAAACAGTTCCTCCTCGCGCTTTGCTCTTTCCCGGCCAGGACTGACTTCTCCCTCCGCGGCCGGCGGGAATCCCTGTGGTCGCAGCAGCGAACGACCCCTCTTCCCCGAGGCCTCGGCTTCTCTGCTGCTCTCAGCAGGTTCCTCCCCCACTGCTGCACCGCGGCACCTGCGTGGGACGCCCCCGTCTCCCCGCACCGGGGCTCATGCCTGCAGGCCGCGGCCCCAGACAGAGCTCTGCTCTGGGCCCTGGCGCCACGGCCTGGGGTCTTGCTCACAAAGGCGGTGGGAGGGGAGCGAGGGCCCTGGCAGGGCAGGGCAGGGCTGCAGCTGACACCCCTGCGGGGACCCAGCTCCGGGACCATTCCCGTGTCTTGTCTTGCAGGGATCCCAACTTGGTGGAGAAATACCGGCAGGGGCTCAACAAGATGCTGGCGCAGAACGTGCCCATTGAGATCAAGCCCGTGAACCCGCCAGACGTGTTCCACTGGCAGCCGCAGGAGCCCAAGCAGCTGTTCTGGGTGCGAGCGCGTGGCTACATCGGTGAGTCCTGCCCGGGGCTGGGCCAAAGCTGTTCCTTGGCCCCACTCCATGAGCGCTGCTAGCACCAGAGCAAGCAGAGAGCATCGGCCTGGAGCCCTTGCTATCCCCGAGGCCAGGGCAGGGCTGAGTCAGCCAATACCGGCAGGGGAGCATGGCACCGGGACTGCAGGAGGGGCCAGTGGTCAGGGCCGCTGCTTTGGCACGTCCTGCAGGCACCCCAGGAACTCGGCTCCGCGCCCCACCCCCCGCTCGGGGCAGGATGGCTCGCGTCCCGCGGGCCCCTGGCCCCGTGCTCTAAGCCACTGCCTTGCAGGGGAGGGCGACATGAAGCTGCACTGCTGCGTTGCTGCCTACATCTCCGACTATGCCTTCCTGGGCACCGCCCTGCTCCCGCACCGGCAGCACACGGTCGAGTTCATGGTCTCCCTGGACCACTCCATGTGGTTCCACGCGCCCTTCCGAGCCGACCACTGGATGCTGTACGAGTGCGAGAGCCCCTGGGCCGGTGAGTCTGGGCCTGGCCCCCCAGGAAGCCAAGGTCCCCCCCTCAGCCCCGCAGTGCTGGGGCAGGTCCGCCCACACCCTCGGGGGAGCTGAGGGGCTCCCAGGTAACAGCTGTCCCTGCTCTGGGCAGGCGGGAGCCGAGGGCTGGTGCACGGACGGCTGTGGCGCAGGGACGGGGTCCTGGCCGTCACCTGCGCACAGGAAGGAGTCATCAGGGTGGCAGAGACCCCGATCGAGAGCAAGCTGTAGCTGCCCCCGCGGAAAGGCTGCCCTGGCTGGAAGTGGGCACAGATCTGACGCGGAGCCCGGGCAGCAGCGGAGGGCTGGAGCCAGCTGGATCTCCGTGCTGCTGGGCGGCGGTGGCACAGCGGGTGCAGGCTGGGAGCAGGCAGACACGGGCTGCGCTTACGTCACGTTTATTGATGGTTAGTTACACACTGGACTGGCAGCGGCTGTCTCTGCCTCGCTCCCCTTCCCCCCCCTTCTAATAAAGCAGCTGCGGCAGCTTCTGCGTGGAGTCAGTACCTCGTGCCCGGCTGTGCCCAGCGGGGCAGTGTCCCCAGCACAGTTGCAGGGACCACGGAGGGGGTGGGGGGTGGCACGGGGAGATCCTGGCTGGGGGCTGCTCTGCCCTGGCCGCTGCTGAGCACCTCTTGCAGAGCTGCCTGGCTGGGGGCTGTTGGTGCAGAGCGCACGCTGCTTCCCTTTCTCAGTTCTCCTGTTCCCACCCCGCATCCAGCGCTGCCCCTGGCTGCATAGGTACCCGCCGGCTACGTGGAGCTGGGCTCAAGGGGTCCGTGTGTGGTTTGCAGAGCCTGGCAGGCCCCCGGCGTGGAGGAGGACTCCTACCTAAGCAGGGGCAAAAGCGCAGGACTGGCAATCAGCCAATAGGAGGGCAGCTGGCCTGGGGCTGTTAGCCAGGGATCTGCCCCATGGAGGGGTGTGGGAGGGGAGGGGAGGGCCGGTCTGCACAGACACAGCAGAGTCCCTGTCCCTTTTCCTACCAAGACTTCAAGTCCCACGGTTCAAAGCCCCAGGCCTGGCCAGAGCTGTCCAGGCCTGTCTGCCTGGCACCAGAACATCCCGTCTGGAACCTCCTTGCTCCCAGCAGCGCCCGCCAGGGAGCTCCGGCAGCCCCGAGCACAGGGGGGCCGAGTCCCCAGCCCAGGGAACGAGCCCTTGGGCCAGCCGTCGAAGGGCTTCTTCCAGGAACCCAGCAGCGGAGCGGCGTGCTGGCCACGTTCTCCGGCAGGGCCAGGCCTGGGGCCAGCCAGGCGGCCTCCGGCCACGCTGCCTTCCCCGTCCCGAGCACACCTGCCGCTGCGGCCCCCCGGCCTCAGTCCAGTGTCTCCTTGATGAGGAACTCCTTCAGGGAGGGCTGCTGGTCCAGCACCACCCCTGCCTCCTGCAGGGCCTGCAGCCGGGCCTCCGACCGGCGCTTGTCCTTGCCCACCCTCCAGGACAGGTGCACGTGGGCCTGGAGGAAGGGCCCCAGCAGCGGGTGGCCGTGCTGGGTCTCCAGCAGCTGCAGGGCCTGCTCGCAGTGGCGGTGCGCCTCGCCGAGCTGGTCCAGCTCCTGCTGGCACACGGCCAGGCCGGCCAGCGTGAGCAGGAAGCGGCCCGAGCTGCAGACGGCCAGCTTGTCTTGCAGCCGGTAGGCGTTGCTCCAGGCGGCCAGGGCCTCGCGGTACATGCCGCTGCAGGTGAGGCGCTGCGCGGTCTGCAGGTCGTGCAGGAAGAAGAACTCCAGGAAGGCGGGGCAGCGCCGCACCTCGGCCATGGCGTGCAGGTGGGACAGGAACTGCTCGAAGGCGCGGCTGCGCTTGGCGATGGTCTCGGCCGTGAAGTTGCGCCGCAGCCGCTTGCGGGGGAAGGCAACGCCTGCCAGGTCGCTGCCGAACTGCCCGCGCAGGCGCCGGTTCAGGCGCTCGAAGTCTGAGTAGCGCCGGGCGATGATGGCGGGCGTCTTGTCGAACTGGCCCGAGTGGATCAGGTAGATGGTGTAGAGCTGCGGGAGAGCGGAGCCGGGGCGTGGGGGCCAGCACCCCTGGGGCAGGCGAGGCAGCAGGAGGCAGGCCGG